AAAATTAATATATCAATCACTCAGTTCAAAATCTAAAGTATTAATTCAAATATTTTGAAAAATTCAGTGGTAAACATCAATAAAAAATGATTATTTAAAATAAAGAATAATGTTTCGAATTTACACAATTGATGTTTGACAAATAATTAACAAAATAACAAAAATCATACATTTGAATTAAACTTCACTGGCTCATAAAAAATGTACGTGTGCTCTATACATAACTATACAGAAACTAATCTCTCAAGTATCAGTAAGTATAAAATGTATGAAGAATCTTATTAATTTTATGAAATTTTAACAATAAAATAATTTACATATTCATAATATATCTCTATGTAATATGTTATATAATTATAATATATGAGGTTAATTTTAAAAAAAATATTTTTTATGTCAGATGGAAAATATTCAATTAAAGAGGGTAGTTTCGGGAAGCAAATTAGATGTGATAAATTAGTACTTTGGGTTCAAAGACAAAAAATTTTAGTTCTTCCTTCTTGAAATTCCAATTTATATATTTAAAAAACAACGATTTATGGAAAATCTGTCACAATTGGACTTCTTCTTCTTCTATTTCTATGATCACTTTTTATAGGAAAACAGGTATTTCGTTGTATTTTTTTTGGGTAGGTATTGGTAGGTATATAAGACATAAACATACGGTCATTACATCAAGCATCTTGATGAAAATTTGAATAACAAACAATACTTAACTATCATTATTTATTTTGTTTTATTATATGAATTGGTTAGGTCACTGCTTTTTATACTTCGTATTACCTGACGTTGGTCGATAATTATTTTTAATTTTAAAATTTTATTTAACGAGTGTATTTCTATTTTTGCATTTTTTATAAATACAAAGTTCTTTATAAGTTGTTTTGACCTCAGTTTGAAAATATTATAACAAATTGCACGATTTTTTTAAATAATACAATTGGACATAAACTTTCTCAATTCTTAAATGTTGTATAGAAATAGGTGTAAAAGTTACTATAACAATAGAGTAGACGTAGCATTGGTTGAATATCAGTGTAACGAATATTTATAATCCATTATTTATATATAATAATAACACAAAATGATAATAACATAATGATAGCATAATGATAACACCTGAACATTTTTCAAATAGGCAACTTATTTATAGGTTAGGCAACTTATTAGACATCTCGAGTCGTCCAATTTCAATTAAACTATATTCATATACTAAAGTTACCTCTAGGTAAAACTATTAATTGATACATTAAAATGAATGAAACATCTAAATGATATTTAAAAAAATACACAGCTATACAATACATTATAACATAATATTAATAACTTATTAATCATACTTTTTTAATAAATATAAGATTTACATGAATAATTATGATGAATGAAATAGTAATTACATTTTATAGTGGGAAATTTAGAAATATATCATGAGAAGTAAAAAAATCAAAAGAAGCAATGGAAATATTAGTAATACAGGAATTTTTCCTGTTATACCGGTGCTGCTCAGATGTTGATTATTTTTAGTTATAAAATAATGTACTACTCTATCGTTCATTTTTACGCTATTTCTGCTTTTCCCCAATTTCAGTCTCTGTTTTTCCTAAAAAAAAAAACGGTATATAATATGACAAATATATTTTATTGTTTTATTTCTACTTACTGTTTTACTGTTATCACCTAACTAATTTTAAGTTAATGCGATTGTAGCTTGAATTTTAGTCTGTTTAATCAGTACAAGAATAAAATTAAAAAAAACATTTCATCGAGTTTTGTTTAATTTTTATAATCAATATGTTACAGCAGACACTAGTTAATAAGTAGCTCGAGTGTCAAAATATGTAGTTTAAAATTATAATATTAAATTATATATAAATACATATACATTATACAATATGTGTCACCCTTGAGAATTTATTTAAATAAACTAAAATAAAATATATAGGTATATTTTATAGATGAATGTGTTATTTTTTCCTTGAATTACTTAAATTCTAAAAATTATTTAATGGTTGAGAGAGTTTACCTTTTTCGTAAGTATTATATTATCTTCATCCTCGGAGAGTGAACATTTGTCTTTTATATTGTTGGCCTAAAATAATACGTTGGCATAAAATAAAAACAATGTATATACATATGTATAAATTATACGGAAGGAAGACCTATCTAGCTATCTATCATAATAATTATAAATTTTAAAAAGTAGACATGCTGCAGTAGCAGCAGTAACAACACTCATCAGCCTAACAATGTAATAATAATAAGTATAGTAATAGTATTGTGTAATGAATCATACTATTTTAATACTATTTAATGACCATTAACCTGAAACACAGTAAGCTTATATACAGTTTAATCTGTATAGAAAAATGTACGACGTGATAAACGGCCCCTTTCCCCACCCCCATGCACAGGTCACAATATTTAATAAAAGATTACTCAATAGGTAATAACTAATAAAGTAATAACCATATTCCATTAATTATTCGTCATTATTCAATTAAAAAATTCATTTTTATACTCTGCCAATATCACTCGAACAAAAGATCTAAGATAATATTTATTAATTAATTCATATTATACAACGTTAAAAGTTTTGATTAGTCTAAAATACAAGTATATCAATTTTTATTAAAACCCACCTAGTACCTATATTTCTTAGACTATTAATTTTCAATATGATATTTTATTTTAATTTAGGTAGTAAAAATGTTTCCCGATATGAATAAAATAAGACAAGTTCTCGATACAGGCTCCCTTAAAAAAACCCCCATTCCCCCCCCATACCATCATGTATTAATGTGTTACTCCATCTTACAAACGTACAACTTAGCAAATTTGTGTTCAGGTTCAGCAGAACCAATTTTATGTTGTTAGGTTTAATATTAAAGTGATTTAAATCATGATGGACCTTTAAGTTCTGTAATTATCTGTGTTTATACCAACGTTGGTGTTTACGATAATTATGACTTATGAATATTTTTAAATAATATAGTAATATTTTGCTTACTCATAACTATTCATTTAACAATTAAAATAACCCAAAACACCAAGAAGTTCCTATAAACTCGGATAATTTTATTATTTCTAAGTTTGTTTATAGGTTAATTCACTATACCGAGTATTTAAGCTAACAGCACAAAGTTTTCTTTGTTGAACTTTGTACATTTGAAAGACGGAGGTAGCACATGCGGCTATGGCGTTCTCTTAAAATAAAGAGTTAAGGTTAACAATTTATTTTTTGTTTTAAAAAAATTCAAATCAATATATATTTTAAACATTAAAATAATTTGTTTACATGGGTAAATAAACTCATTTAATAAAAACTAACATTTAAAAAGTAGGTTTTTCAAAAACAAAAACAAATAAAAATTGTGTTTTTTTGTTGTATCTCTAACTATTATTAATGACTCACCATATTTTATTCTTCTGGCTTTATTACTTGAATTTTGTTCTCACATATATTATAGACACATAAAAAGGGCATAAATATTTTTGTAGTCACTTAATTGCTATTATGTATTGACTTATTTATCTTGAAAAGAAAACTTGAGAAAATAATTGAACATTGTACCGACTTTGCTGTTCAATGGAATAATATGTACTAATGGCAAGATATAACACTCAATAATATTTACTTATAAGTTAGTATATTCTATTATGATTAAAATGTATTAATAATATTAGAGTGGTGAGTATTACACTAGTTTTTGACCTTTGTCCAATTAAATGTAAATAAATAATGAGATCATCTAACTTTGTTAATTTCTTATCTTTAATTAATATTTATAAATATTAAATACATTTAAATTCACTTAAATACCTGTTGTTACCACCTAACTGAATAACGTTGGATTGGTATTTGGTATATTTGATTTATAACATTGGAAATAAAAAAAAAAATCATAAATCTACAAATAAATGGTTATTAGTAGGTTGGTTGTACTTATTATATAACCATTACCTTTACATACTAAGTACATACCTACTTTACTCTTCAGTCTTCACACAGTCGTTAACTTCTTTAAATAGCTTAAGTTGTATAATAAAATATTAACGTTGTAAATTTTAATGAAATATATAGGTACCTACATAAAAAGGAGGAAAGTAGGTAACCACTCTGTTGTGTACCTCGTCATTGAGAATTAAATATCACTGTAATGTATATGTGTTAAATTTAAATTATTAAATGTTAAATCATTGATACAAAAAACGATTCTGAGCAAAGATGGTCTGTCGGCCTTATATTAATATGCCAATTGCCAAGTTACATGAACAATCACTAAACATTTAACGAATCAATAGTGAGCCAATGGCCCCTTAAACATTGTTTAGTAGCCCATGATTATAATTGGTCATTACATTTTATTGAGCCATTCAATTAATACATTTTTCATACAACTTAGCATAAGTATATTATATGATGTATTATTTATAAATTTATAATGCTATTAAAATAATTTATTTTACTATCATTAGTACGGTATGTTGAATTTACTTTAAATTGAAAAAATTGTATTTTAAAATGTCATTGTGTGTATAAGACATAATAATATTATGAACTATATTTTATCATAAATATTAAATTATATAGTACATTGTTATCATAGTATTCGTATATTATACATTATAAGTTTAAAAATGTCATTAGCTGTTCAATAATTCTCAAATTTTCATAAATTTGACAGATGTTGTAGTACTTTTAATATTTTTAAATGGCAATAATAACAACTTATGAAAAACCTTATACTAAATATTCAAGCTTTTTGACCAAACAAAATATTTTTTATCGATATAGAAAATGTAAAATGTTTATAAATAGATCAAAAAACGTCAAAATATTTTTAAAATTATATCATGTATAGAAAATTCTAATACAAATATTTGGTAGAAATTTTAATTTAAAAATTGAATATTTAACAGATATTTAACATTTTAATAATAACAGTTATTTTGTTGTAATATAAAAATATTATACTTATAATATTACACTGTCAGTTGATGACATTTTGTGTGCTTTTCGAAGGTGTCCACTATTCAGATGGTTCAAATTGTAGAAAGTTTGTAGTTGGCTCTCTTGAAAACATCCACTTTTAAGAGGTTTCTGCTTAATAGCACCTCCTAATGGAGGTGTCCGTTAGAGTTTCGCTGTATAATTACATAAATATTATATTAAATAAATAATTTTAATAGCCATATAAATATATTATAAGATATACAACTTATATAGGTACTTGGCAATATAAGCTGACAAACCGTCTTTGCTCAGAATCGTTATCCGTATGCAATGATTGAACTGTTTGCATTGAATTCAAATTTGATACGTAGAATAGCTATTGTGATGTATCCTCATTATTCGGGACACTACAAAGTTATAAAAAAAGTCACTGTAATAGTGTTATTATGGATTACATTTTAATTAAAAGATAAAACATTGCACACAATGGACCTGCCTCAGTATAGTTAAATAAAGTCTATATTAAATTATTAACAATGTTGTGGCGTTGTGTACCGTATGTTATATAAGTATATTAATTGTAATTAGGTCTACCATTTATAAAAAGGATTCACCTGTAAAACAATAAACGATAAGGTAAGTTAAAATAATTTTTGCCAAAATATTGCATTTTAAAATGGTATTATATGCATAAAAATATAAAATATAATAAAACACTTAAACAAGTTTTTATTACCTAAGACAAATATTTTTATATTACAAATGCTTCAAAAAGAGTCAAAATATTTTTAAAACCTTATAGTGGGTAGAAAATACGAATATATAGCATCCTGTGAGTATTTAATGTGTATCTATGGGTTTTTTACAAATATATATTATATTCCCAGTATAAGGAAATTTTTTACTTTTGAAACCACCCCTCCCCCTTCCAAAGTACCAATGATTTACCAAACACATCATTGTAAATGTAATACATTCATCACTCCACTCAGAATTGAAAAGGTTTGCTGTGAAGTAAGTGGGCTAAGATTTCTTTACGATCTTTTAGATCCGAACTCAATTTTCCTATTAAATAAAATGTGGGACGCAAGCAGTTTGCAGTTTGCACCGACAAATTCAACTAAATGTAATTTCCTTTTATAGTTATAAAGTTATAACTTATAACTTATAAGGTATAAGTAATAGCTAGGTACTATAAAAGTATTAATTATTAATAATTAATGAGCATCAATATCAAACATCAAAATATGTCACGATTAAATTCTTAAAGAAATAATTTATAATTTATCTGATATTAGATAGGTACTAAGAATTTCTCTTAAACAAAATACATTACAAAAAAAAAATAATAATAACCAATGATACCTAATATTTACTAATAATGGAGAATAGTAAAGAATAAGACGAATCAAGAATGTATACTGTATAGTGTATACACATTAGGTTACCTACTTTAACCACAAACTAAATTAACTAGTAACCATACATAGTATACGTGATGTACGAATAGATACATATCTAGGTATCACAAGTTACACAAAGGACTATTGTTTTAATTTATTCACCTTGTTAAATTATTTACCATGTATTATTAATTGTTGCGGTTTTTTAGATTGCTTTGGCTTTGACATCAATGTTTATAAGAAAAACTTAGGTATAATCGTATCAACATCAGTCGTTTACTCGTACGCATCAGTTGTCATGTGAGTAAATTACATCGATAACGATTAAAATGATATCGAAGTTGTATCAGGTTTATGTTTCAAAAAATGTGTATACCAAATATGAGTACAGTCAGTATCATCTATAACGACGGCTAAGGGACTGTAAAAACGAATCGTTAAAACCAGATGTCGTTACATAAAATATGTTCATATAAACAAAACGGAATTTTTCCGGGACCTTGAAAATAACATCGTTATACCCCATAGTAATATAATGTCGTTATGACAGGTGTCGTTATAGATAGTACTGACTGTATTATAATATGTTAACATATTGTATTATTAAAGCTATGGTACATAGATAAGGTAGATAGCGGTTATTATAAAAATCAAAAATAATTAATATTTAACATAAAATGGTTTGTTGAAAACTATAAGTTTGTATTAAATTTGGAATTAGTAATTAGGTAGGTATACATATCATGGTATTATAATTTTTAATATTTGTAAAACTAGAATTTTTTTATGCGTTTGCACATAACAGTTATTCCTTTGACCTCTAAGAAAGGATTTAATGGTTATTTCTTATAGTGATTTTGTCGTGTCTGAGACACCTATAAGATTAATACGAATTTTGAGACAAGTACTCCCCTAAAATCAGATTGAGGTTTCTGCATAATTGTGTTATTAATTTAACTAGTCCAGAGAGTTTAATTTTTAGATCTACTAGGCAAAGAAATATTTTGACCACCGTTTTCACAAATAATAAATACTTATTTCTCCAGTGATTTTGACTTTTTGCGACATATAGGGAATTACCCCGGTTACCGTCTAGCATATTACTTTGAACTTGAGAGGTAGGTGACTAGTGACCAGTGTAGAAGCAACCAATATTTATATTCAAGGGATGACGGAAGGAGTGGGAGATTTTTTATGAAAAAATACCAGTACCTGAAATTGCAATACAAATTAATTGAAATTATGCAGCTACATATTGCGTAGGATTTAAAAAAAAAATTTCCATCAGGGGAATATGTATCACTGCTAGCGACTCGCAAAATGTTGTTAAGAGTAAAAAAATCAATAAATTTTAAATTAAGTATTTTTGTTTAAACTTTTATTTTGGGAGACACAGTTGGATTGATTCATTCCAAAAGTCCCAACGATCCACACAATAGGGGTTTATAAAATAGACCTATAGTTGCCCTATAGTCTAACTACTGTATGTCTGTATATCTACCTTAATGTCCAACTACGCCCCTGAACTATTTGTGGGAGTACGAGGATTATTTACGCTCAGAATATAATTAACCTTCACTAACAGAAACAATCACATAAGTAAATTCTCATCACTTTTACTTTTATTTTATACTGAGAATATTACTCCAACACTCTAAATGAACCATCAACCTATATGAACTACTATATAATAATACAATTTAATAATATTGAACGCTCATTGGTGAAACACACTCTTAAAGAGTTGTGATGCCAAAAATAAAAGAAAGAAAAGAAATTAAGAAAATGTATGAAGATTGGATAGTTCTGAATTTCGTGAAGTAAAAAAAAATGTCTGAATTAATTTTTTACGAGTTTTCATATATTTTTTGCTCAAACTAATTGTTCGTTTATTTATTTTTTGTGAATATTCAAAATCCATATCATAGTTCACTTTAAGATAAAAATATGTCACGCTACAAAAGACAATAAGTTTATAATTTGAACTAAATGTTATTATCCTTTCCTCATAAACTTTTCTTAAATATTATATTTAATTTTAATCATTAAAGTCTTTTGATAAATATTCAATGCAATAAAATAACAAATTTGAACCATATAGTTTTTATGTTATGTTTGATACCAAAATATCAGATAATTAGTGTTGTTTTGTATAATAAAACATTATTAGTTTTTAAAATCAATATCGTTTACCTTTAATTATTTGAACGAGAATTTCACATAAAACACGACTCTTCACAAAAATAAAATAAATTACTATTAAACCGGGAATTATCTGAACTGCAATATACCAACTATATCTATGAAATACAGATACCTACGTACTGAATGCGAAAGGCGTAGTTCATACTGGTATCGGTCGTGTGTGTTTTCAGTTACGTTTTGCGTGTAGTCACAGGCTGACGTTTGATGATGAGTAATGATAAATATTTTAATCCAACACTTTTATAGGGGATTTAAAATGAAGTATAAATATACTTACAAATAAAATAAAATATTTAATTTAATAAATTGTATTTATAATTGTTGTGTTAAATGTTTTAAAAAAATACGGACAATTCTATGGATACTACAAGTACTACTACAACAACTTTAAAGTCAAAAAAATTTCCCACCATGTTCAAGAAAATGATGCTTTCAAGTTAGTTGATTGGTTTCTAAAAGTATTATATAATGTTGATTATGCTTGATATGTATGTACAAATACATTGTTTATAGTTACACAAATATTCAATAATTGTACTTTTGTTTTGTATTTAATGTAATCACGTAGATTAAATATTAAAATTTCATAAGTAATCGTTATTCGTTTTTTTTTACTTGAAATCATTATTATATAGTTGCTTAGTGTACAGAATAATATAAGGTATTCATGCAATTCATAATTAATCATTTTCACTATGCTGGATGAACAAGTAGAGCAAATAAACAGCATTATTGAATTATTACATTAACACGAAAACTTTTAAGACTGAGGAAATATGACACAATTTAATTTTGGCAAACTGTGATAACAATAATTTAAAGTTGAATTTATTAGTCTTATAACATCAGTTATATATTTTGTAATTAATAATAATTAATTTCAAGAACGTTTTTAAGAAGTAAAACTTACACATAGATCATTGTAATAAAATATAAATTCAAAACTGTATTTGTATTTACAATTAGAACGTTAGGTATAGTTAAAAAAAAATATTAAAATTGTACTTTTCATATTTTGTATAAATTATCTATATGAATCACAATAAACTGATATTATATTAAAGATATTTAAAAAAATGCATAGAAAATACTCATGATACATAGATATAGTATAGCTTTGTTTTGTGCTTACATAACTTTCAATATATAAACTTAGAAAAATTTGTAATTGTACAAGCAATTGCAATATTAACAACATAACATTTATTTATTTAATAATGTATCTATTACTTTACATTTTAAATATTTTTTTAGGTTTAAGATTTTCGAACTTAACTAATTATGAACAAAAGCTTAGACAGAGTTGGCTAATACATTGATTTTTATGCAACATCAACAAACTAAAATATTATCCATGGTAACGGGTTATTAGTATAGAAATTGGATACAAATTTACTTTTTTAAATTAAAATACACACGTAGGTAGTAACGAGTAACTTAATAATTGTACACAACGATAAAAAAGAAGCTAATCCTTTTTCCATAATAATATTCGATTTATCGTCCTAAATGTGTGACTTAATTGAAATAATACACAATAATATATTAAACGAAAAACTCAATAAATACAAAAAATTAGCCAATCATCAATAATTGATATTAAATACCTACTGTATAATGTTGATAGTAGATTTTATAATAAAACTCAAAATTAAAAACAAATTCAATTTATTGTTTCTATGAATATATATATATTAAAATGTATAACCTATATACCTACTAATAAAAAATATTTGAGTTGAATTTTCTAATAAATTTCGATTTAGTTATTCTATAATAAATTATAATACATGTAGGCTAGATGTTAAAAAATACATTTTTTTTATAAATACAAATTATATACAAATGTATGTACAAAGATGCATAGTACAAGGTATATTGTTGTATTTAATACCTATATTGAATATTTATTATGAAAATAAAATACATGTAGTATGTACTAATGCTTTATGGTGTAAATTTATTTAGGATTAAAGACCATTTCAAAGGATGCAACTTCAGCTGTAAAATCATCCGTCCAAAAAAAGACATCGGCAAAAAAAAAGTCGAAAACGGCTTTGGAAGCTGAACAGGAAGTTGTGGGTATGTCAAGGCGGCCAGACACAGCCACGTTGGGCAAACCACTGTTGTTGGACAAGCGGACAGAGAGCGGAACGGAAGTACGGCCATCAACTACAAAACGTCCGGTTTGTCAACAATTTAACAGTAGAACATACCGGGTTAAAACCAAGGACCGAAAAAGCGTGCTTAGCTTACCAGAAGTATCTAAACAGACACCGAAGAATCGGAAAAGTCATTTACCGATTAAAGTGAAACCGATTGCTCCAACTCCACCAATTCGGCAACGTATACAAAAGATGCCGTCTCCATCAAACGACCAGGAAAACGTTAAACAGAATATTATTAGCGAGAGAATAGAAAAAAAAACTGAAGAATATCAACCAGAAAAATGGGTTCCAACGGCTGTTGGATCAGCGAGGAAGAAAAGGCTTGTTTTGTGCTATTTGTGCGGTAAAGAATTCGGTACTGCTTCGTTGCCATTTCACGAACCTCATTGTCTCAAGGTACGCTATAATAGTTATTCCACAACGTAACGCTCCCAAATTATAGGTAAAAATACTATAAATATATTAACATTTTATTGGAAATGTAAAATAACTCGTATTTTTGGTAATACTAGATGTTGTGTTTAAAAGTTTGACTATATTTATTTTTTAGAAAACACAAATAAATTTACTGTAGTCTGTAATTCAAATGAAATTCAAATAAAAAATAATCATCATAGGTATAGGGAAAAGGGAAAACAATTGACGAAACTAATTTAGGTATAGATATTATACAAAAAAATTATAAACAAAAAAGTTGGTAGAAAAATACATTAGATTAGGTACAAAAACAACGAAATAAAAATAATATATTCGATTTATAACTAAGTTCTATTTTTATTGGGTACCTACACTATATAATTATTTATTGTCCTTGAACTTGAAATATCGCATCCTTTATTATTATATTTTGTTTGTTTGATTAGTTTTTTTTTTCGATGTTTTGCATTTCAAAATATTTTAAACAAACATTGATAAATTATACTTCGTGACGATAGTCACATATACAAACATAAATATTATGACAAATAATAATAGGTATACGCATACGCCGTCGTTATATACAAGATATGATTACATCTGATTATATACCTACTATATGTCTATATAGAAATATATCCTACTATATATTATTATATATCTATGTATATATATGTATATACTATTATTACACTATTTAGTACTTATAACTTTTATTAACAAACAATATTCAACTAATTTTTCAAACAATGAATGTAGGTATAAGTGTTTTTTATGATTTTCATAAAAAATTTGATTATTATATTTAATGATTTTAAAATAATTGTAACAAGAGCTTTCTTGGTAACTAGGTTAGTGTAATAATATTAAGGCTTGTTCCTGTCGAAGCATTAAACAAACATTTTATCAAAATGTAACTAAAAACTACCGGATATACCTCGAATGTCGGAATGTATGCTCAGTTGAATATAGGTTAAACGTGGGAAGTGTACCCACGGCGTTTAATAAAAAAACCATAATTTGTACAGTTTTCCTTCGTTTTAAGCGTATCTAGATACAGGAAAGTTGAATCCTAGTTTACAAGTATATATTTTTTTTACAACCTCAGCTGTACTTCTGTTTAATATAGCTATATTGTACACGGTTTACACCGTCAAAACACAATGCCACCAATGTGAGAGCAAAATAATAATGGGTGGGTGTGCAGTGTGCACCTATATATAGTTGCTTGCCCAGGAAGTCCGTAATATGTCTATAATATGGTTTTTGGAACACTACTCCCATTGTTTAAAAGAGGATGTTATACATAACGAGTAGTTTTTGCAATAAGCCACCGGTATCAATAAAATTATAATACCGAACTCAATTAATCGAACTTAATAACACTCTTACTAGCCTTACTTATTTTAATTCAAGTTGACGAAATAGTCTTATTATATTGAATGATGCCTCAAACAGTCACTCTTTCTAAAATGTATTTAACAATTTAAACGTCGTATTTAATAATGATTCAGTTAGATAAATTTACAGGTTTTTAGATTAATACAAAAATGTTTGTAATTAACAAGAACAAAATGTGATTAAGTTAATCAATTATTTATTGACAAAATAAATTCTATTTCTAAGTTTTAAAAACGGATGAAATATCATTATTTTTTAAATTTATTAAGATCATTTTATTGATTGAAAAAGCTATTATATAAACTATAAAGTAAAGAGTTCTTTTCAATGGGCAGTGTAGAAATTAAAAACACTGCTTGTTTACTTAAATACCATCGCAGATCACAATGTCGTACAGAAGACTAAAGTAACAAAGTCTGCGATATACTTACAGGAATAGGTAAATCACTTTTTAACTAATTATTGAAAGATAACACTTATTCATAATTATATACTTAAAATATAAATATAAATAATAAATCTAATTATACCCCAAATTTTTCTCGATATTTTTATTGTAAAACAATAAGGTATCAGTTATATTGATATTAAATAAATAAATACAATAAATTACAAAATTACAATATATGTTTTTTACTATATCATATTGCCCGTTGGAAAGATTTTCAAGGGCATATATAGGGATAATAGGGATATATATATATATTTTGAATAAACCTATATCAGATTTGTGTAATATAATATAATAATACATATATTGTGGATAGAAGTGTTGGCGTGTAGCTGTAGTAAAAGAATCACTTGAGTGATTTTCAAACGAAAACAGTCGCTGTATAGACCTTGAAAATTGGAAACCTCAAAACACTCCATACTGACCACAACAATACCTATTTACGATATAATTATAATATTATACTTGTTTTAAATGAATTATCCTAAAATTTGAATAGTTGGAGTGCCATAATCATAAACTCCCACTGACCTGTTCATCCATGACCCATATCTAAAATATATTCCTCATCGCTATATCTACTGACTTATTAACTATTAATAGTGATAAACATGTTTTCATTATATAAGTTTATAAAGTTGATGAAAAGTCAATACGTATGCATATAAATAAAAAAATTTAACATGTTCCATTGACAAGGTCTTGGAAAACCTATAATAGATATTATCATACGAAAAATGATTTTGAACAATTCCGTTGAAATCACATTTGCTGACTTTTTTTACAGTTTTTGATAGTATTTCCTTAAATTAGAGCTTAGACTTTTAGAGGAACCATTGAACAAAATCAAAAAAATTACCTCTTCAAATAATCAAATATATTGTGTTTTCCCGAGATCCAATCTTAAATGGAGCTACTTTTTGAATGTTGAAATTTCTTACCCTAAAATCTATTTAGCAAAACATAATGATAATAAAAAAATAACTGTAAAATCAATAGGTACATAATATTATATATAATATATAACCTAACCTACCAATACAATTTAATTGTCCATGTGTTTCATTATTTTTACACGCTACAGGTATCATTATTTTATTGTGTTTTATGTATACCTATAAGTGACTATTTTTTCAGACATATAATTATTGTTTTGTACTATTGATTTTAAATTGACATTGAAACTATGAAACATAAACATAATATTATATTAAAAACTATCTAATAACTATATATATATATTTATATATGTAGTCGAACGTGTCCTGACTAGCTGACTGATCAACGTAGAGCCTAAGCTATGATATCTGAAAACTTAAAATTTTCGTAGTACCCTGTAAAGGTACACAAAAAAGGATTTTTAAAAATTCGCCCTTTAAAGACGTCCTCTCACACAGATTTTGAGATTCACTATAAAAATGGAAATTTTTTTTGTTTATAAATGGTTGTCATTGGCTGCAGATTATGAAAATAATAATATAAATTATTTTTTTTGTTTGTATATGAATTGTTGCCATTGGTTACTCGACCAGATAAGGAAAAAGCACACATCAAATCGTAGCGTTTATGTGGCCTCGGTTAAAGATTTAAAGAACCACTAAATCTTAAAACCAAATGTATGCTTGTGATTTATTATACACCCAAAAACTTCCAGACTGATTTTGACAAGAATTTTTAGGGATGTCAGAGAGAGTAGTTTAATTACGTTAAAAAATATACCAACTGCTAAATTTTGTCCACAGCTTACAGTTGCCCATTTAGGTCGAATTATTTCACAAAGTGAGGTACACCAACGCTGACTTGCCCGTGATTTGACTATCTGAGGTACACTAAAACTGAAATAGTGAGATACACCTTTATAGCACTGAATTTTATATTTGTTCATTTTTCCAGAACGAAGATAGGTTACACAGCTAATATAGTATATACACAATATAGCTGGTATAGGTATCTATATTTTATAGGAACTACATAACATTAGCATGGTTTATGTTAATGGACAGACAATTACTGTAAAAGATAAACGTTCGTAAATTCGATAATGGCTATGTATATTTTTTCAACAGAAATGGACACAAGAAAATTCCCGACTACCCGAACATTTACAAAGAACTTTGCCAAAGAAACCGGACAGTCAAATTATTTCTGTTGATGACTGGAATCAGCTGGCATGGGAGGCCACTCAGGTACCTATGCCTAATATATTATACAAACATTCAATTTCTAGCGATAACATTAGCTTAAAAACTCAATACTTTGAGTTGAAGTTCGATGAACTGAAAACCGACTTTGCAACGAAAGCGAGTGGGCAGAAGTCATGACTCATGATGCAGTTAATTCATTTATGGTATAACCAACTATTATAACTGGTTATACACTTTATTTGTACGCCCAAACATTGGTGTACATACGAAGGTGTGCATTGGTATTCCCTCGTGAATACATAGTCAAACAATGACAATGTTTGATTCAAATAGTAGGAAAATGATGAGGCTTTTCTTATTTATACATAGATAAATTGATTGATGACATTTCATGTTATCTTCTATTATTATATATATAGGTACCTACTAGCTAATTATAAAAATGTACTACTCGGACAATGATTGAAAAGTGTATGTAATGATTGCAGTCAAATTTGGTGCCATGCGATTTTTGCCAACGGAAGTTCCTAGCAAACAGACTTGAAGCCCACGCAAGAGTTTGTATTGAATCTAAGAAAAAAACAGCACCAGTAAGTGGATAATAATTTGATTGTATTCATTATAAATGTTAGTATGGGTAGTGAGTATAATTTAGATTTGACAATATGAGACAACTATTATATATAAATATCAATAATCTCACAAATGATGAGTGATGAATACTTTTATAATGAGTAAACAGTTGTAGGTATTTAGATATTTAGTTAGATGATGTATCTTGACTATTAGTTAGTATAGAAGCTGCATTCTACTATGTGTACTCGTAAGTTGTATATTATTTTGTAATGATGTAAGTATACATTGGATTTTGAATTTTACAGTATGTACCTATTAATATAAATAATTCAGTGGGTTATGCTTGGGCATTGATAAATGTAAATTTATATCTGCTAAAATTAGAAATTGCTCATTCGATTGTGTAAATAAAAATTTGTTTTTTTCGTCTGACATCAATAAAACAATTAACATAAAATATTTGAGGAGACCAAGTATTGCAAATAATTTTTCTAGATCTCCGTCTAGGTCAATTACGTAATTTCACAAAATGTATGCAGATTTAATGTACACGCATACAGGGCATGTTATATTATTTACATAAGAATAAATGTTACACTATTATTGTAATTTGTAAGTAAAAATAAAATATGTTAAATAAATTAAGGTTTTTTTTACGGATTTTGTATAATGAATACGTTGACTCACTGTATAAGTGTAAATGACAAAATATATTTTAACTTATAATATATTATATCCAAGGTGATTGTTTTAAAGGTAAACACTCACAAAGGTATTTACTATTTAGAAATAGGTATTATTTTCACAGACACGAGGGTTAGGGAGTAGGCCATTAGGGTACGCTCATCTAAATATAAATAATAGGTTTGTCTATTTATAAGTTTTAAATAATTAACTAATCGATCGAAATTTCGATATTTTTAAATTACAATTCTCGGAAAAATGTTCTGCTTCAGAATATGTTTTTTTTTTGTACTTTATTTGAACTAAACAATCTATGTACAATATACGTCATACGCCATACTTTGTTTAATACGCTTAGGTGATGATTCCAAGAAGGTTACTGTTAGAAAATATGTTGAAGTAGCCACTCACTGCCCACTGACGTTACTCCTGGCGTGGATTAAAATATGCGAAATTAAAAATGTATGCAGCCATTCAAAAAAGATAAAAAAAAACTTTAAAAATGCTTACAATAAAAATATTATTTCATTATAAAATGTTATTCTATTACCTATTACCCCAATTTAAAATTTCTGAACACATCTCAGTACGTAGAAGGCACATAGGTATAGGCGGTAGAGGTATAGACAATATACTATATTAATTGTAGTTATATATACTAAATAGTAAAAATATTTTCATATTGCAGTATTTAGTATGTACTCATTTTAATATTTGCTAATTTTTCAAATAGCTCGAATTATAAGTGAGTAAGTGACTATGACCATGAAATCTAACCCAACCAAAATATTGGTATTAAAATATAGGTATGGATATTATTTATGTACAGAATACAATAGGTTTTAAATTTTTCTCTCTGCCCAGAATCTAATACAAAAAGTAAATTTTATAATAAGAAAAATTTACAACCACAGGTAATATCAAATTACGTATAATTGACAATATATTTTAAATCCGTCAAAAGAATGCGTATTACCTAAATGAAAAGTTTCGTAATTAACTGAACATTGAATTTTAAATCTTCGACACATTTTAAGCTAGACAGTTAGATGTATGAAATACACGAAAATACGAAATACAAATTGCAGACTGTAAACCATATAGCCATACTAGGATTTAAATTATAGAAAATGACTGACCGTTTTCACAATGATAGTACCGCACCGCGCCCATGAGAACCCAAACGACATTATTTCGCATGCCAATATAAAATGCATATTTTCTCAGTAAAAGTGTCAAATTCAAAGATACAAAAAATATAATAATAACTAATATACTTTTTTTTTTTATGGTATCGAGGACTGGAGGAGGAACTATGGTGCCAATACTTCTCCTTCAGCCCCCATCGTTTATTGTCAAAAACAAAAACATACAACAATTAACAACGGCGGGCCAATCCCCCACTCGCTGCTATTACAAACAAAATTTTTCTATATGCATAATAAAACGGCGGACTATATTATGTATAATACTATAATAAATAAAACGGCTCTCCCTAATTTTAAATTACTAATATACTACTTATATCCCAACGATGTATTCTGGTTATCATTAATCAACGCTACACGTATTTTATTACTATAGGTACCTACCTATACCATCTATACATTCAAAGCATCGTGACGTCGTAGTTATAGGTATTAGGTAGGTACCTACACATAGATACACCTTATAAATACAACACGTTATATGAGTATAAACATAACGAATTCGTATATCGATTGAATGTCATTATGTATACAACGACGGTCTCAAAAGTAGAAGAACAAAAAATACGAACATATTATATAACCTAAGTATGTTATAAGTCCGTCAATATCGTCAAATCAGCTAGGTGCATGGGGCGACGATCGCGTATATAGATAAATAATTAGATATATTATATTATATTGTGCAGGGGGAACCGTTTCGTCTGGTCGAGTCATGATTTTATTCGCGTACCTAATAATAATGATAAATAAAAATATAGGTATTCCGTTTTCCACAGACGCCAAAGTTACCAGCTAAATCGGCCGTCATCATGGACAGACCAAAAAAGAAACCAGCGCCGTGTTACGTGTGCGGTCGACTATTCGGGACCGCGTCCATAGGGATTCACGAACCTCAGTGTCTGATCAAGTGGACCCGAGAAAACGATAGCTTAGCACCACATCTCCGACGACCTGTGCCCACTAAACCGGAAGTGATCATCGACGAAGGTAATGAGATACCACCGTTGTGTATGTGTAGTGTGACGTTTATGACATATCTAATGTACCTACCTGGCTACCTATATAATAATTTATGTAGGTATATCATATGTGGTGTATCATTTTTATAGATCTACGTATAGTAAAAGGTATATTGTACGGCCAGTATAGGACGATACACGCTATCTATAATATTATTTAATCAGTCAACTTTTGAGACTTTAAGCAAAAAATGTTATGTTTTACAAAAAAAACAATTTTTCATCTTTATTTTGTATTCCTAGCGTGGAGCGAAAGATGTAAATCCCTAATGACTAATTATTGCCCAATATTGCACATTGCCCACACTCAAAAGTAAAATGTAACAATTTGAAAATTTTACCTAAGTATGAAACTGTAGGCTTCACAAAATACCAACTATGAAAAAATCAATTTTTAAAATTGATACCTACCCTATGATTTTTATCTTAAGTTATTGAGTCAAACGACGCGTTAGCAACGGCTTCAAATGTAATTTAAATAATTGATATACCTAAACCCTAATGGCACAATATATACAAATTATATACTCAGATATTCACATAAATATTATATTTTTATGTTACATTTTTAAGCCAATTTTATGTACCTAGTTCATGTACGTATACATATTATGTCAGATGTCGGCGTGTAGTTAACTAGGTACTTCCTAGTCCTAGATGCTACATTTGATGCTTTAACAATAATTCTGACAATAATAAATGTGAAAAATAATGTATAATAAAGGTATTATTTAAGATAGGCAGGTACTTAATACTTATTGCATACCTATCATGTGAACAATAATTATTAATTACATATAATATTATAATAATATAACGTTTTAGTGACGGGCAAGGTGGACCAACAAGCTACCAGAGAAGAACACTGGAAATCGTACTTGTCACAGCTCGTGCCATGCGATCGGTGCAAACGGACATTCGACCCGGACAGGTTGGAAGTGCATCAGAGAAGTTGTAAAGGAGTGACAAATAAATGAAAACAATATTATTATTAAACTAATAACGTCAATGCAGATATAAATATTATTATTCTCGTTAAAACCAGGTTTTGTTTAATTACAGTATTGAAGTACGTAGTTATGTTAGTTATTTGATGTAGTAAGAACTTTAGAGGACGCTTACACCCGCATGCGCTGTCTCCGTCTTATAAACGCGTAACATGGACATTCGTTGTACATTCTAAATAATCCATTTAACTCCTACTATGGTTCAAATTTCAGCGAATTCACCTGTTATCAAATTTAGAAGTAATAGAGACAACCATGCGGGTGTACCGTCCTCTAAATTTAAAACGGTTAAATATGTATTGGAAGTAGGTTCTTACGTCTTACATAAATCACAGTATCTAAAAGCAGCGACGTATTTCGAAAAATGTTTAGAAAGGTGTCGAAAATATAGGGGAATTGACTATATTATATAGTTAGGCAGTTGTGGAGTTGTCAATAAGCAGGTTAGTGGCGTTTTTCTGAAAAACTTGAATATAAATCGCTTCTGACCACAATATATTAACCATAATATACTCAATAATTGTTGTCTAACTGTAGTCAAAATTACTTAGGTACCTAACATAAAAAAATACTTATTGAAAAAATTAAATAATTGAAAAAATATTATTTGTTTAACTGCTGACATTGTTTCTATATTAGCCATTAGGCACACAAATATAAATGATAAATTAGGTAATATAAATTAATCACTTAAAATTACATTCTAAACATCGAGAAAATAAGTCGTGTGCCTGTATAATTTTACATAAGTAACATGATACCGTGTATATCATTAGCTAGACTTAAGATAATTTGTGATTTAAAGTTTTGGATAAAGTTACGTAAATAACCTACTGATTTGAGTATTTTACTATAATTAGTAACTGCATTTTTTGTAAATTTATTATGCATGTATTATAATAAACAGAATAGTATATACTATGTATATGATTTATTGTAACGACAAAATTGAATATAGTTTTATATTATTAACACATTTTTACAATTTTTCCCTAGAGTATTATCAAATAAGACATCAGCAGAAGTCTAATAGTTTTAATCACTGTCTTTCTTTAAGGCCGTGGTTTTAATGACCTGAACACATTTTCAAATAAAACAAGTAATATGCATGAAAATATGAAATACTCATAACTATTCATATATTTAATAAACACCATGTCAAAACTTTTTGATTAAAAACGAATAATGTACTCCCACAGATAATAATTACTATTACAGTATTACCTATACATCTGTGTATACTCAAACCCACGACCTTCGAGTATGTAAGACAGGGGCGGACTGGGCCATAATTGCACAGATGCGCCGGTGTCATCGAATGTATCCCGGGCTGGTACAAAATAATCCACCTGCTAAATCATTATTGTTGACGATTTTTTTAGGACCTCTTATACTTAGAACTCCTTTGTAGTAGACCGACATAATCCACTTCACTCCACTCCACTCAACTCAACATTCAATGTTTATAAATTATAAGTTACCTATAACTATATAGGGTCTGCAAAATGCATTATTTTTTGGGAAGTTCCCGCCAATGCTTTGCAGGTACAAAATCCCTTTCATACTCGTACATCAGAGGTTCCCAAACTATGGGTCGAGCTATTTTTTTAAATAATACAAAAATATAATCATCTATTACCTTTCGTTGATGTTCAAAGTTCAAATTCAGTTTTATCGCCAATCCTCATCTGTGAGTGTGACAATTACGAGTTTACCAGCGGCGGTGTCAAATACTAAATATTATACTTATTTTACTTTTTTTTCGTAATTACATAAAATTTAATAAAATAGTTTAATTTTCTGTTGTATGGTAAAAAAAAAGGTCATTCATTGATATTGTGGGTCGCCCATATTTTAAAAAATTTTCAAAATGGGTCGTACAATAAAAAGTTTGGGAACCTGTCGTACATCAAAGAATTTAAAACTATTTAACTTTTAATTTGCATTTTAATCAGTTTTAGTGTTTTTTGAGCAATAATTTTTACAATTTTTAAGTAATTTTTGTTAATTCTTAGTACAAATTTATACATGACTTAGGTACATTTTTATATTCTAGATTAAATTTAATTAGGAATTTCAAAAATTTTGCTGCGACCATTAATCATATGTTAATTGTACTATTTATGATTTTATAAACTAGTCACTAACAACTAATTGGTTAGTCGGTGTTACATCGTAATCGCGTTTATATCGATAATAAGTTCATATTGTTTACTCAAAAATTGTTATAACAATTTTTTGGTCATTTCTAAGGACATTATTGCGGTTAAAATACTTTTTGGGGGCATTCTAATCTAGATGTCATCTATGATTTAGGATTTAAAGTACAATATAAACAATAAATAATTAATATTAGCTCAAATAAATTTTAATTTTAAAAATATTTATCACCTATTTATTCATTTATTATAGTAGTTAGTGAACAACTGAAATTCAAAAATGAAGTACCGAAGTCTATAATAAGTGTAGGTTGTAATAGTAGAGGGCCGATTTTTTTTCAATAATAGTCCACCCCTGATCTAAGACCCATCGGTCTTTATCTTTAAAGGCCGTTCTCAAATCTGTCATTTCTTAAGAAATTAAACAGTTTTTTGGATATTGTTTTTAGACGCAAGTTATACAAGACTGTACAAGTTGATTATTTGGGTCAAATATACTAATTATATTTATTTATTTATAATAAGCATAAATACTTTTAGAGCATAATGCATAATATGAACTTAAAAGGTAATTACTATTACTTGGTAATAAATATTAATTAACCAGTAGCACTTATAACATAATGTTTTTTGGACTAGGCAGAACTCAATTTAGGTCCAACCAATTTTGAAGCCCTATGTTTATTGCCATAGAAAGACAAATCCACAATTAAAACAAAAATGTAATTACATTAATACTAAATGCAGAAACTATACTCTATTCCATAAATCTGGAAGAACTCGCGAAAAAAGAATCGCCGTTATTCGCAACATCTCTCGGCACCCAACGATACCCGCCGTGTACACTGAAGGTTATAATAACATTAATAACAATGGTATTAAATACGCGAAGTGTGGTATCAACTCAACCACATTGTATACAAGATAAAACTGCATCGTCGAAAACAGCGCTTGCCACCGGAAAATCGAGTGACACACCAGCGCGGAGCTGGAGGCGTTTTGGTCAAATATTTTTCCATTTATTTAGGATAGAGTATAGATATTGTTCTACTGCCCAAAACTCAAAAACCTAACCATTATTCCTATATTTTCCCCGTAACTGAAATTTTTTTTTCAATATTTATTGCTTCACAAAATTATATAGTTGAAGGCACGCATCAGTGGGTTTGAATGGTGTGCAAAGCAGGTATTACAACTTGGCATTGAACATGTATTGATACTTTATTTGCATTAGAATTGTTTGTAGCATCTCACAATAAAATTGAAGACCATATTGGTTTTAGAAAGGTTTAGTATAGAACAATGTTATTTACCTTTCCCTTAGTAGTTATTAATCTAACGCAATATGAATATAATTTGCAATATTACCAGTGCATATTACTTTAGCGAGTAGTAATCGTCAAACTATCATACATTATGAAATCATTAATGTACCATTTAATCAATGTCTTTTTTTATTTATTTTATAAAAATTAGATATATATTATTTTCACCAGTGTTATTACTAACTTCTTATCTTTAGTCAGTTTACCTTACTGGGTGTTGACCCTAGATCTTATATTTTCAAGGAATTATAGAACAAGTTTAAGAACCAACCTAAAAATAAGTACCAGTCACATTTAATTTGAGGCACGCAAATCATCAATAATTATTATATCCATCGTCGGGCATAGTGATTTTTTAATATCATTTTACATAAAAATGATCGCGGTAAATTAATAAAAAAAATTATATTTTCAGAAAAATCAAAAATGATTAGTATTATATAATATATCAGGATTGGCCAAACCGTGGTTTCATGAGACGCATGGGGCTCTTGACATAGAATCTTGAGGCTCGCGCATCTTATGGTAACATTTTTAATATGAATTTATGTATTAGAAAAAGTATATTTTATTAAATTACAATGCGTAGAAAAAAATTTAGCAAAAATATAGTGTTCTTAACATAATTTTTAATTATTTTATTATCTATTGCGTGTTTATATTGATTGTACGTTTAATTAAATTTGATACTTTATCTTATTTACAATAATCATATATATTGTATATACGAATATATACATATATATTATTTACTAATTATATATATAATATATGAGCACCTTCTTTCCATTTTGGCTCTTCCACATTTATTAATATATATGGTGGCTAGCAAGTCTCTTCTCTCTGGCCACCCCAGATAAACATTTTTTTTTTAATTAACAAAAATGGTATTAATCAATGAATATTATTTCTAAATTGGGATAAATATTTGGAATTATCTTAGTTACATTCTATGACAATACATATATATAATGTATTATATAAGATATCTAGTCCATTATCATCAACTTCGAACCAGTAGTATTGAAATAGCATTTAAATATTACAATATTTTATGATTTTAGGCTGTAAATTAAAAAAAGTTATTAGAAGCAAAGTTGAACAACAAAAAAATTCATTTTCACATTATGTTTTTATTATAAGGTATTTTAGTGACATGCACAGCGTTACACCAAACGCTTTATTGACGAGACACAATATTATCAGTAAATGATCAATAGATTTTTGTTTTGAAAATGGAAATCAATCATATAAACTCAGACACTGCCATACATTTGGAAAGAGAAAAACTTGACCATAATTCATCAGTTCTTTTAGAATAGTTTAGTCTTATAGAAAATAAAATTTTGTTTTAATAGCATAAAACAAGTATTGTTCAAATTTAAGACGAAAATATTATTTATCAGGAAATAACATCAAGTCTTCCATACTATTGCGTTTAACAATAAAATAATAATAAAAAAAAATGCGGCGATTTTAAAGTTAATATCATGTTTACAATTTATCAAGGTATGAATTGATGTCTGGTAGTCCATCCTTAAGACCTTTACGTTTACGTGTGTCCTAAAAACAAATAAACAACAGTTAATAAAATGTATTGGCATTTAAAATATAAATCTTACCATAACAACAACATATGGTTTTGATCCAGTTTCACATGGGTCACCTGGGAATACTTGCCAATGATCAAATACACACTGTGGGAAAGCTTGTCCTCCGGTGTTACTACGCAAGTCAGCTGTGAATCCTGCAAAAAAAAAAAATGTCCAATTAAATAAATATGTTAATAATTTAAATTTTGATGAATTTTTATAAGATCATAAATTGTTTCAGTTCATCATAGCTTAAATCGTCATCAAACATAAGGATAGAGGTTCTGCGACAGCGTTCTGATGAAATGATATAATATTTATTTTCTTCCATATGCACATTCAACACTGTCCCCATTCACGAACGAATAAAAACCCGCCCGCTAACTACAGAGTGATTCATTTATGCTGGAAGGTATTTTAATATATATTTATTTATTTGAAACTATAGTAATATGAGTGTATTGCATCAGATAGAAATCTGACGAATATAGCGACATAAACCTAATTTTAATTTACCACTAAAGGAAAGTCTATTACTTTATACATTCAAAGTAAAAGAGGCAAATTGTGGTACTATTAGGCTCTGGTTTATAAAATAGTAATGTAGTAATATGTTTGTATTACATCAGATAAAAACCTGAAGAACATAGCGACATTTACCTAATTTTAATTTACCACTAAAGGAAAGTCTATTACTTTATCCATTCAAAGTAAAAGAGGCAAATTGTGGTATTTAATACTCATATCATAAATATGTTTGTTTATTTTGCTAAGACAGTCTTTTACTTACTACACAAAACACAAAACACAATATAACTAACATGAGAGGCAAATTGAAATAAAAT